ATTTGTGAAGGAAGAAATCATATATCCTGTGCACACATGTGAAACTAAAGAAGAATTCTGGGAGAGAAAAAGAGATACTTTCTTCCAATATCCCAAGGATCCTGAGATTGGGTGAGCATGTTTACCCTGACCTGCAATACAGATTTATACTTTAACTGCCACAAAATTAGGATCAGTAATTTGCTTATTAATCTTTGAGGAATTTAAACAAAGAAGTTATTGACATATGCAATGTTTTATATTGTATTCATACAATTTTACAAATAAAAGTGTTAGATATATTCCATAACTTGATGAACTTTAATATATGTTGAATAATTTATTAACAAAGTTCTGCAAAATCATTTAAAGTAAATCAAGCAAGAAAAAATTAGCTACTCTAATTGACAATTATTGAAAGAATAGTCTTTTATTCATGGTATTGTGGCAATGAGAAGGTATTAACTTGTATGCGGTATATCCACTGAAAATGTAGCAACTAAATTTCATTTCAAATCAGAGTGTTGAACAAATTTTTATCTTGCATACGTAATTCATAATTTGTATTGGAGACTTAATTGCGTACTCTGTTGCAACCCTAACATCGAACATCGTTTTGTGCAGTCCTCACTTCGTGCCTCGTTTGTGCAGCCATACCTTGTTTCCTTTTGTCTTAACTTCGTACCTCGTTTCCTTTTGTCTTAACTTCGTACCTCGTTTCCTTTTGTCCTAACTTCGTACCTCGTTTCCTTTTGTCCCTGTCTCTTATACACATCTAGATGTGTATAAGAGACAGGTGTAGGACTGTCTGCTGTGCGTGAGACTGTCTGCTGTGCGTGAGACTGTCTGCTGTGCGTGAGACTGTCTGCTGTGCGTGAGACTGTCTGCTGTACATGAGACTGTCTGCATGAGACTGATCATGCTCAGGTACCTGGTGGAGCGCGTGAAGGCTCTTGGCCCGGACTTGGCTGCGGCTCACTTCATCGTCTACCGCGGGGGGCGCGTGCGGTTCCACGGCAGCAGCGAGTGGCTGCAGTTGGACAAGTACGACGAGTGCGCCGACCTGCCGCGACATAAAGTGGACAACCTGCACGTCAAGGATATAGATGCCTCTGGTGTGGAGCTTCTCCACGAGGGACTTGAGAATTTCGGTGAGATTCCCAAGTTATTATGCGTGGTTTGGTTCGTTTCTAATCGTAAATTCGTACTTACTAACGTAGAGCCAGTGGTGTGGAGCTTCTCCACGAGGGACTTGAGAATTTCGGTGAGATTGTCAAGTTATTATGCGTGGTTTGGTTTGTTTCTCATCTTAAACTCGCAGTTACTCATGAGTAGTGCCACATTACAGCTCCATTTATTCTTAGGATGAAATTTTATCTTCTTATTGATCAACTCTTGTCTTTAACACTAAATGAAGAGAATTAGTTTATTGACATAGGTACTTTCTCGTTATTAGAACCCTGTTTTAACTCAATCTCATATATTAATTTGTTCAAACTTCCCAATTTTTTCAAATCAAGAATATTTGACATCGTATAATTGGGTTGGAACCCTGTTTTAGCTCAGTCTCATATATCAATTTTTCAAACTTCCCAATTTTATCATATCGTGAATATTTTTCTCTTTATTAGAACCCTGTTTTAACTCAATCTCATATATCAATTTTTTCAAACTTCCCAATTTTTTCAAATCGTGAATATTTGACATTTTATAATTGGTGTGCAGCGGGGTGCCAGTACCTGGAGAGCCTCAACCTCAGCAACTCGCCCTACGCTGACAACTTCTTCATAGACCGCATCTGCAACCAGCACGCAGACTGTCTGCAGAGCCTCGACATCAGCGACTGCAGACACATCTCCCTGGGCGGCATCACGGCGCTCTGCAGACTCAAGTGAGTGGCAGCATCAGTCTGCAGACACAAGTGAGTGACCGCATCAGTCTGCAGACTCAAGTGAGTGACATCGTACCTCGTTTCCTTTTGTCCTAACTTCGTACCTCGTTTCCTTTAGTCCTAACTTCGTACCTCGTTTCCTTTTGTCCTAACTTCGTACCTCGTATCTAACAGGCAATCAATACCAGTGTACGAGCGGGGTATTTTCCACCTGTTCACGCGTACCAAGGGCATGTCTCTGGAGAACGTTCAGCTCATGCGGGCCATTCTGCACGTCGACACCCAGACTCTCAAAAGTTATCAAGAAGAGCGTCTCTGGCTTGCCCACGTTGACGACCAAAAGTAAGCCAGTATGCAAAAATTATTGAGCTATTGAACTAAGAGTAATAAGTTACATCTGATTCGATTAGATTAGTCTTTCTCAATCTTGAGGTACATCAAATAATTTTTAATGATGAATTAAACTATAAACTTTACCTGAGCAACCTGTAACAGAATCTTTTTCTGTCTAAAAAATTAGGTAAAATGATATCAACAACCACTCAACACAAGATCTTTCTGCAAGTTATTTATACAATTCTCAACAATATTGCTTATTGGTTCTAAACTATAAAACAAAGCATGAAAAAGTTTAATAGGTATGCCATTTAATTTAGGATGAGACATGTGATGTAAATGTGAAGAATCAATTTGGCTGCTGTTTGTTTGTTGTGAATACTTGCTTGTGCATGAGACTGTCTGCTGAGTGTGAGACTGCTTTGCGTGAGACTGCTCTGCGTGAGACTGCTCTGCGTGAGACTGCTCTGCGTGAGACTGCTGTGCATGAGACTGCTATGCGTGAGACTGCTGTGCATGAGACTGTTTGCTGTGCGTGAGACTGTCTGTGCATGAGACTGCTGTGCAGCATCAGTCTGCAGACTCAAGTGAGTGACAGCATCAGTCTGCAGACACATCTCCCTGGGCAGCATCAGTCTGCAGGTTCACTGCACCTTCTGGCTCTGCAGTTTGAAGCGCTGTGATGCAGCACTTACGCGTGTAGTGTCAGATGAGCAGCACTAGTCAGGGCCTATACTTTCAAAAAAAGTTAAGAGATCGTAAGTTCATCAGCCAATCATTGACGGCCTTTCAAGCAAAATCCACCAATCATAGACAAGAAAATAGAGCGTAAGTACTTACGTTCACTTAGCGAGTTTTGAAAGTATGGCCCCAGGCTGGTAGCAGTTATGATGGTACTACGCAGCGGTCACGGCTTACGATATAACTTTCACTAGAAGTTGGAGAGGCTACGTACTTAGCTTTGCTGGTTAAAAGAACCTACCGCCCTGCTAGTTCCGATGGAAATTTGTTTGAAATTTGACGTAAAATCTTGTAATTTTTTTCAAAGCAGAATTAGTAAAGAAGTTGATGGCACTGTGATAGTAGTAGTTTTAGACAATACCTATTCTACCTCTGTACTAAACTAACGCAACACATTTCTAACAAAATATTTTTATTTTGGCAAATGAAGACTAAACGCCTCTGAACTTTTTTCTCTATAAGAAGTTTGACACGTGAACGCCTAAAATTTTGAATTATTTGTTTGCAGGAAGCTGAGACACCTCAATGTGCAAGGCCTGTGCATAGAGCACTTGCCCCTGGCATGCCTGACGCTGGAGGACGAGAACCCTGACCTGACGGTGTCGGGCGTGAGCTTCATATTGGAGGAGATCGACCAGATGCCACAGGAAGAGGTCGACGTTATCAACGCTAGGCTCGCTGCCCTTCGCAACGTCGGCGACGTTACGCCCAAGAAATGACGTTGAGGTGGAAGGCCTATTTGAAGGCCTTTTCAATTAATGTGATCATGTTCAGGGGAATACTTGGTTCAATTTTTAACATCTGATCTATTCCGCCCGTCGTATCTGCTACTCATGTTCACAGTTCTTATCTGTTAGGAACGGAAGTATTTGTGAGCGCACTCTATCATCATTGGCCTCAGCTGTGCGGTGACTTTAAGATTAAATAGAGGGCATCTAAAGGGAAACATCCCCGCTGCTGTAGATTCAAAATGCCTTTCACTAGCACAGCGAGGCCTTGATCACCACAACTACCGTGGAAAATACCGGCAATAGAAATCGGGAATGTGAATTACTTATGAAATCGCAACAGCGATTTTAAATTCAGTTATGTAGGTAGGATTCCTTACATTAAGTTATTATGTAGGTAGGATTCCTTACATTAAGTTATTATGTAGGTAGGATTCCTTACATTAAGTTATTATGTAGGTAGGATTCCTTACATTTCCCTTCTCTGTCTCTCTCGTGCGGGCGGCCGACGTCCCGTGTAAGCGACAACTTGTTCGAATGTCTTCGTTTCTGTTGCTGTTAACCGTCCCTCTTTATCACCTGTCCCTCCTTGTCACTTCGTCTCTTTGAGACGCTAATGCTGCTTCTTACGCGCCGGCTACAGCTGCCTGACTACTTGAGATCTTCTGCTGCTAGTAGTTGATGAACGATTTTTTATTTGAGAAATGGGTGATAATTATAACGTTTCACCTCGTCGATGATGTTTATGTTAGACTTACGGTGAAAGAAAACTTAAAACAAACGACCCACAGTAAAATAGAATTACGGGGAAGCCTCTTTGACCCTAGCGTTGATAATTAAATCGCTAGTAAACCATGAGGCCAATAAAATGTATTACCGATTAATGGGCCCATAAATTGTATGGTATCGAGTAAACTACGCGACGCCCCGCCTCGGCTTTGAATGAGCTTATTTCACTTGGCTTGTCAGTTTTATGAACGAATCCCTTGTAAATATTAATAGTGTTAAATTACCGAATATCTCGTTTTTCTCGATACCATTTGCATGCAAACTTAGCAAAGCTATGTTAGGCTGTGCGAGATGTAAATAATGACATCCTTCATCTATCTAGATTGTTATATTCGTCGAGTAATTTTTCATGCCTTTTATTTATCAAAAGCAAAGATCAAAGGAAAGATTAAATGGCGTTAACAACTCGGCTTGGGCAGAGTGGCAATCCATTTTGTTAAAAGGCACCACCAAAAATAAGTATGTTTCCCTGCGCAATAATGAATTGCAAGCGTACAAAGCGTTTCTTTAATTCATTCAACGGAAAATTAAACTCATTTCCAGGAGTAATTTTAATAAACATGAGGTGTGTAAGGGTAACTGAAACATTTTGATTATAAACATGGATATTCCGACACAATAATCGAGACAAATGAGGTACGAGTTTTGTGAGTAATATAAAGATAACATCACTCGGCATTACAAAGGGGCTACATTAAATCTCAAAGTGTTGATATGAACACATTAAATTCAATCTCGTTGAATACATTACCAAGATGAAACGCGCTCGCCTCAGAGCGTCAAAGTTTGAACGAAAGACATGTGCATAGGCATATATACCAGCACCAGGCAAGGCATACCAGCACCAGGCAAGGCATACCAGCACCAGGCAAGGCATAGCAGCACCAGGCAAGTTATACCAGCACCAGGCAAGGTATACCAGCACCAGGCAAGGCATACCAGCACCAGGCAAGGCATACCAGCACCAGGCAAGGTATACCAGCACCAGGCAAGGCATACCAGCACCAGGCAAGGTATACCAGCATAGCATACTAACATCACACGAAGAACTAGACGCATTTCGTAAGGCACAGGTTTACACATAGTTTATAACTACTCTTCAAGTAAACAAGTCAAGACTGAGCAATAAAAGGTTTCGATTATTTCTATTTTAACTTGACCACGACTTATGTGATATTCACGGCAATTGAAACTCTTCACACTAAATTTATAATTATTCTTAAGCTAAAAAATTATGCGTCTTGTCAGATCTCTTCAGATTGATGTCAGTTCTTAAACTTGTTATCATTACTTTTACGATGAGATTCCTGATATTCTACCAGTAATATTACTTATCTTAGTGAGGGCAACGGCGAAACATTAATTAAGTATCAAGTAAGAAGCACTTATTGAATGAAATATGTTTAAATAGAAAGCCGATTGAGAAGCTATATAACAAAGATGAGGTAGCCACTTCAGAACTGATGAAATCAAAAGATCTTCCCAATTAAATAATTAAAATATCACAATTAATTAAGTCAGAGAGGCTGATAACCAAGCAGTGGCTCCTAATAAACAGACACAAGTGCAGGTAAAGTGAGTTGGTTGGCCATCAAATATCCTCAGAAGTCTTAACAAATAAGAGGTCCAGAAACGATAAATGATCAGTTAACAAATTCAAGTTCTGATCTTAAAAGTAATCTATTATTAATACAATAAAAAAGGGAAACATGCACGGGACAGGTACACCTCATGAATCTCCAGGGGCAGGAAGGGTTAAATCAAATAAACATTTTAATGCTCTTCAGGAAACGAAGCAAACGCAAAACATTAAATCTATCTCAACATCGCAAAGCCTGGCAAGAGGATCGTCTGCCTGCATGGAAAACAAATGCCAACATTTCTAGGACTCAATAAAACGATATAGAAAATTGTATGGAGTAGAATTTCTACACAGAGAACAAAATCTACACGCATTGCACGCGCTGAACGTATTTCGCACAAGCAATTCACACAATTATCTCAAACTTCTATATTTAAGAAAGGAATTAATCCTAGGGTTAATAGCGGCACAAATGAATACAATAAAGTTTGAGCATTAAAATAATAAATAAATTATACGGTAAATCAAGAGGCAGTCATTCCATGTTAACGTTAGTCATGTATACGAGTTGAAACACGCGTGCACTCGAAAAGAAGGTAGATAATATTTTGTTAGTCTAATAATATTTTAGAATATATGGTTAGAAAATAAACTTGTAATAACCAAATATGGCCGCGACTTAGTGGGTTAAGGTTTAAAATAACACGCAAACAGCACTTCTAATATCAAATTCAAACAGTTCTTTGAACTCCATATTGCCTGTAGGCTCCTAAACATGTTACCTAAAAATCTCAAATTAATTGAATCTATTTCCACAAAAAAACATAATTTTTGCACATTAACTTCGAAACGCCCAGCGGCAGCTTCATCGATCCCCGTCTGAATAGTGAGGGACATGAGCCAGCCAAGCGTCTTGCCGGCACGTCATCTTGGACGCAATCTTGAAGCGTGGCAATAGAAAGAGAAGCTGGTAACCAGACATTTGACGTGAAATTAACGTTGCTTAAACGTTCTTTCACCGTCGTTACTATCTGTGGCCAACTATAGTAATTAAGCTTCTCTCTCCACTCCTTGACTCGTCTGAACTCCTCTCTCGCCTCGCAGTGATGATGAGTTATTGAATGAACATTGCGACAAAAATACCGATAGAGGCAAGTTACACAGGAATTTATCAGCCCACACTGAAGCATATAATTTACAGTATCCCACTCCCAAGGTGGACATGGACATCATAAGAACAGAATGCTGGGAGACACAGACATCATAAGAACAGAATGCTGGGAGACACAGACATCATAAGAACAGAATGCTGGGAGACACAAATTTAATAGATTTATTGCTTTATAAGTTTAAAAAACCTGGAACGACGGGAATAGATGAATATAATTTGAATCACATATTTAAGTCATCAAGGCCCTTAGTCTGGTGCAGCTCCGAGTTGCTTGACAATTCTGAGCTCATTAACATAAATTAGGACCTGATTACATATACAATTTAAACTCATCAGGCGACGAGAGTTAGCAAAAGATATATCAATACTCAACTCACGAACATCATTATTTTTTAAGTCACGTATTTTTTATACAAATTTGAGCAACAAACCTACCGAAGAATTGCGCGGCGTGTCAACAGAAAAACGTGTTCTTTAAAAGGTCCATAGTCCATTACACATCAGAGGAATGTAGACAGAAGCAATAAATAATTTCCATAAAAAGCAAGATAAATTAAACGGCTACTCTGAGTAGATATTATTTTAAAGCTAGATATTAAAGCTGGAAAAGTAGCACTGCATGCATACAAGAATCAACCAAGAAACAGACGTTACTAAACGGATGCCAATTTAACCTAACAATAAATGCCCTAACATGAACTACCACACTGCCAGATGCATGCATCACACGAAGATGTCAAACATGGCAGACAAACTACCGACTAAAAAACTGCAAAACAAAGCTCAAGACATCGATTAAAAATGAAAAGCTTTAGAAATAATATCAGTACTGGCTCCTTTGAGATGAGAATACACACTATGCACGACGATGAAAATTATGTTTTATATAATGGGAGGCCTGCATAAAAAATTAAGATAAAATGCACACTATAATCAGACCCACAGCTTTCAATGCAAGAATTAATACTTTCACGTGAGATTCTGAAGACGTAGAATTACGCGAGAGAATTGCGGCAACTTATTTCAAGGGCGGCGCCTTCGTTTCTAGTAATCAAAAGACATTGTTAGAAGTAAATATTGAGTACAGCATAGAATAAAATATAAGGCAGCTGTACCCATATGCTGTCCCATGCGACTCTCTAACCTAAGAGTCACCGTTGCATTTAGATCATTAAAAATAATATTTTAGCTCAGGTAGAAATTCGTTGACGAGTGTTAGAGCCTGAACATTTAGAATACTAGAAGCTAATACAAGAGACTCACAATGATACAAGCCGGTTATCAAGAGATTATAAATGTAACTACAGGTCGACAGTGAGCTTCATGAACCGAGGTACTCTACATGACTGCTCGGACACGGCAGCATAACTAGCAACGGTGAGCTGTTGAGCGAAGACAGAGCAAATCAGACGTGGGACACCAGACCACTGCACCAGATCATGGAGGCAGACCACTGCACCAGATTATGGAGGCAGACCACTGCACCAGATTATGGAGGCAGACCACTGCACCAGATTATGGAGGCAGACCACTGCACCAGATCATGGAGCCAGACCACTGCACCAGATTATGGAGGCAGACCACTGCACCAGATTATGGAGCCAAACCACTGCACCAGATCATGGAGCCAGACCACTGGACCAGATTATGGAGGCAGACCACTGCACCAGATTATGGAGCCAGACCACTGCACCAGATCATGGAGCCAGATCACTGGACCAGATCATGGAGCCAGACCACTGGACAAGATTATGGAGCCAGACCACATGGACTATACCATTAAACTACCGTAGTCGCCCTATCCAATCCAACGGTTCTTCCACGTGCCTCTGAAATCTGCTTGGACCCTGCAAGTGTGGTATCAGGGGACACTGTACATCAAACTGGACACTAATCCACTATACTAATCCAATAACTGGACACTAATCCACTGTCACTGGATATTTATGCCAGTACACGCGCGGCGTCAATGAAACAAGAACCCCAGTGAGTGGTCCACGCTTTACAACGGCTGAAGTTCTCTCTTTTCTCTCCGATGTTTTATGCCTTTGAACATATTTCTAATGAGAAAATTACCATAAAAATCGATGAGCAGACTTACAAATAACAAATACCTTAATCTCAAGTATTACAGTTTTACAAACAATCAAAAAGCGAGACATTTAAACATACAACTTGAACTTCACTACCTAAAAATTATAAAAAGGCTGACGCAACAGATTTGATGACAAATATTCAAAACTACATTCAATATGTTAGTCTTTGCTAGCGTTTCTAATCGAAATTCATTATTAGTTTGCCGCTATTTATCATCATTTTAATAATTACTTTACCTAATTTTCTCAGTTACAAAAGACATTCTTAAATTCAGCCTACACATCAAAACATGACAATATTACACAAGATTATGAGATAGAGGAGAATCTTTCTTTCATGTTAGGTTCAAAGTTATAACCGTTTATTAAGAATCCACACTTTAAACCTTATGTCTAATATAGAACATTCTACGTTTCAAGATTATTATTGATGGACGCAATCAGGTCTGGCATTGATATTATTATCAATACCCATGTAAAATATGCTGTAAATTCTATTAAACAATCGCATGCAAAAAATAAATTCCACTTCCGGGGCTACATTTAACCTTCTTTTGAGGCCAACTTACAGAAGAATATCAATTAATATCATTCTTGTAAGCATCAGGAGGGTACATGCCGACTTCCTTGTAGAAGAAGATGTGCACGATGACGGCCGCGGTGAATAAGCCGATGTAGATGACAAAGCCAACCCACTTGAGGATGATCTCCCACAGCAGCTTGCGGAGGTTGCGCAGCACCATCATGCCCACCAGCAGCCCGCTCACAAACCCAGCCAAGTGGGCAGAGTAGCTTACCTGTAAATAAAGTCATTGTTAGCATAGAATAGAAGTGTCGGCGTTGAAGACATAGGCCCATGGCCTGTTGCCGATTCTTGAACTTTTCGTGACTTGATTCACAAGGGATCCGGCCTTTGGAACCCGATCTTTCCATAACTGACGATTGATTGAGATAGCTGCTGGACTTATTGCCTGCTCCNTCTTATCATCAAGACCAGGCACCCCACCTTATCATCAAGACCAGGCACCCCATCTTATCATCAAGACCAGGCACCCCATCTTATCATCAAGACCAGGCACCCCATCTTATCATCAAGACCAGGCACCCCATCTTATCATCAAGACCAGACACCCCACCTTATCATCAAGACCAGGCACCCCACCTTATCATCAAGACCAGGCACCCCATCTTATCATCAAGACCAGGCACCCCATCTTATCATCAAGACCAGGCACCCCATCTTATCATCAAGACCAGGCACCCCATCTTATCATCAAGACCAGACACCCCACCTTATCATCAAGACCAGGCACCCCACCTTATCATCAAGACCAGGCACCCCATCTTATCATCAAGACCAGGCACCCCATCTTATCATCAAGACCAGGCACCCCATCTTATCATCAAGACCAGGCACCCCATCTTATCATCAAGACCAGACACCCCACCTTATCATCAAGACCAGGCACCCCATCTTATCATCAAGACCAGGCACCCCATCTTATCATCAAGACCAGGCACCCCATCTTATCATCAAGACCAGGCACCCCATCTTATCATCAAGACCAGACACCCCACCTTATCATCAAGACCAGGCACCCCACCTTATCATCAAGACCAGGCACCCCATCTTATCATCAAGACCAGGCACCCCACCTTATCATCAAGACCAGGCACCCCATCTTATCATCAAGACCAGGCACCCCATCTTATCATCAAGACCAGACACCCCACCTTATTATCACCCCCAGACACCCCACCTTATTATCACCCCCAGACACCCCACCTTATTATCAACGCCGTAATAGGCGTTGTAGAAGAAGACCGTGACGTCGGTGATCATGAGGACGAGCAGCACCAGCAGACGCACCCAGTTGAAGGGCATCTCGCTCCAGTTGAGGATGACGTTCGCCAGGTGCGCGGCGATGAGCGCGTACACGCCCCCGCTCGCCCCCACCAGGTATGACTGCACATATTTGTTCTCATTATTATATAATCAGTAACCTTTCATTCTCAGTCTATAACCTTTTTTTAATGAGAATCTTTTAATAGTTTTGCAGAAATAGATCTTATCTTATAGATGCCGTTAATACTACACACCATAATCAACATCAGCAACAGCGGCACAAAATTTGAACTCTACTGAGGTTGGTGCAAGATAAACATTTAAATTACAGCTTAAAGTATCCTGATACTTCAGTGTATATGCACATCCTGCAGTGTCTAGGTACAGCATTACAGCCTGCAGTGTCTAGGTACAGCATCACAGCCTGCAGTGTCTAGGTACAGCATCACAGCCTGCAGTGTCTAGGTACAGCATCACAGCCTGCAGTGTCTAGGTACGTACAGCATCACAGCCTGCAGTGTCTAGCCTCTAAACTACGGTCTATATAAATTGTTATAGTGACTGTAGTCATGACACCCCCTACACCCCAGATATAACGCCCAGCCCCGTAGCCTTGACACCCCTACACCCCAAGGATTACACCGTAGCCCTGTAGTCTCGACAGCCCTACAACCCAGGGATTACACCGTAGCCTCGTAGCCTTGACACCCCTACACCTCAGGTATTACACCGTAGCCCCGTGGTCTCGACACCCCTACACCACAGGGAATACACCGTAGCCTTGAAACCCCTACACCCCAAGGATTACACCGTAGCCCCGTAGTCTCGACACCCCTACACCCCAGGGATTACACCGTAGCCTTGACACCCCCTACACCCGATATTACGCCCAGCCATACCAACAGGTAGGAGTGTACCCCGGCACCTGAGGGTCAGCAATGGAAGACGCTAGGGAGCCCGCGATGACGCCGGCGAGGTAGAGCAGCAGCAGCCGCCACCACTTGTGCACCGCCTCCAGGGGCAGCCCCACCACCAGCGCCATGAAGCAGTTGCTCAACAGGTGCACGTATCTGTGGTGCAGGTACTATTATCATTTTTTGCATTTATCGCGGGTACTCTTACTATTTATTGCATTTATTGCGGGTACTTTTACCATTTATTGCATTTATTTATCTTTATTATTTATGCATTTATTTATATTTATTATTTGTTTATGTCATCACACCCACCCAGCATGCAGGAACATGCCATAACACTCACCCAGCACGCAGGAACATGCCATAACACTCACCCAGCATGGAGGAACATGTAGGACACAAAGCGCCAGGCTTCAATACGTCGCTTAGGATCGTAGATGATCTCCGAGTCGAACGGCACGGGTGAATAAGGGCCAGCGCTGCCCATCTTGTTCGCGTAATAGATGTACACGCAGATCTGGGGGACAAGAGAGGGGTCAGATCTGGGGGACAAGAGTGGGGTCAGGTCTGGGGGACAAGAGAGGGGTCAGATCTGGGGGACAAGAGTGGGGTCAGGTCTGGGGGACAAGAGAGGGGTTAGGTCTGGGGGACAAGAGAGGAGTCAGGTCTGGGGGATGAGAGTTGCGTCAGGTCTGGGGGACAAGAGAGGGCTCAGGTCTGGGGGACAAGAGAGGGGTCAGATCTGGGGTACACAAGTGGGCTCAGGTCTGGGGTACAAGAGTGGCCTCAGGTCTGGGGTACGAGACTGGTATCAAAAAAGGATAACATTAGACACGAGTTCTATCAAGAATGAGTGCGAGGAATGAAAGGATTACAGTAATACCTGAGCAATAACGAAGGCAGGGATGGTGAGAGGAGGCGGGCAGCAGGAATAAGCCTCCAGGTATATGCGGTCTGCGTGCGCCTTTTGTGACCGAGGCGTCATGGACAGGCCAGCCTGCACCAGCGCGCGGCGCACGGCCGAGCGCACCTGCGCGTCTTGCGGTACATTCACCTGCACGGTCAAGACTCGTCTTTAATAAAGTTACCCAGCAATAAATATTTCTCCATGATGTTTAAAGTTCAGATACAACATCTGAAGATTTATAATGGAGGACATGCATAATAAAGTGGTGAAGGTAAGAAGCAGGGTGCAAGGTGATGTTGCGGTGTTGGTGATCAATTATAAAAAAGGAGAAATTACACCAACTGAAAGGAAGAGCACGAAATAGATACAAACACATATTGTAATTCCAACACTTAGATTCTTAAATGGAATCTAGTAATTTATCTATGAACATGATTAACACAACAACTAGAGTGGAAAACGTAATGAATCCTAATAAATTACATAATAACAGACATGCAGTAACCTGATAACTGCTTGCAAGGCCAGGGAGAGATGGGAAAAAGCACATCCGATCAATTCCACTTCCATTTCACAACAATAAAAACCTACTTGAATTTCAGAGCACAAGCATGCACTACATTTTCATCAGAAGAAAAAAATGTACTGTGTGAGTTTTACATTGCTCAGCCAGTAAGGCATTTATTTACAGGATGAACTGAGTTAAGACTGTGACTTCACAGTGAACTGAGTTCCCAGTGAAGATATTATATGGGGAACCTTATTTCTAACAGTTATTTCCAGGGGAACCTTGGGGAACCATATTTTATTGCACGTATTTCTACTGGGAGCCTTTTTTCTAGCAACTAATTCTCAATAAAATATGTTTCCCCTAGGTTACCCTGGAAATAACTGTTAGAAATAAGGTTCCCCTTATAATATATTCACTGGGAACCTTATTTCTAACCGTTATTTCCCGGGGAACCTAGGGGAACCATATTTTATTGCATGTATTTCTACTGGGACCCTTTTTTTTCTAGCAACTAACCCTGGAAATAACTGTTAGAAATAAGGTTCCCAGTGAAGATATTATAAGGGTCACAATCTTAAATCGGGTGAAGTAACCTGGTTACTAACAGATGTTCTTAATAAATATCTTACACTGAAAATAACAGGAAAATCATTGAAAAATAAAATTCTAGACAAATAATTCTTCATTGCAAACAACCACCATAGTCATTTGTAGATTAAAGCTTCTTACATCTATATATATTATATATTTGCTATTATTGCTTCTCATTTTTTCTTTGATAAATTGATTCCTCACTCTTGAGCAAAGTTAGTAGTAGGTATTTCAATCAATTAAGCCAATCACACACTAGTATTATACCTTACCCATAACTTGCATTGCTCTGAGTATACATCATACATCATACAAGTATCAAGCATTCAATTCTCCCACATAAACTGGGTATGTATTGGGATGATTGCCCATTAACATATATAGTATAGGTATTAAATTAATATAAAATGCAACACGTTAAAAATATAGAAAAACAGTCAACCCAAAGTATGTGTTTTCCCTTGAGCTTACAAACATAACAAATTTGTACCAAGGCAACAAATGGAAAAGCATGACATTCATAAAGTCAAGTGATGAAACGTGTCATCCTCTCACCTCATCCAATTTGGCAGCATCTCTCTGAAGGCAGATGCAATAGTGGAGAGATGGGAAAGGCAATGAAGAAAAACTCTAGTCTTAAAATACAATTTTGCTGGAGTATATTTTTGTAAAACTGACTCTCATAGAAGAATAACAGGCTACAAGAAGATATTGTATTATAATAAAAAGAACAGATGCAAGTGAAGTTGGAAACAAAATATTTGGTTCACACAAAACATAAGCAATAAAGATCCATAACAAGCCATGGCACTGTCACACTAAAACCAGAACTCAATTACAGTAAATCACAAGGAAAAGCAAACAATAACTAATGAATCTATGAAACAAAAATTGTTATGATTTCAAACGAAGTCTAAAAAGAATTTCGAGTAGAATTCAGTCTGTCATGAAAGCTACAATATCAATCCTTTAATAAAATGCTACACACAGCCTGTCAACATCATGAAAAACTATGAAAGATTTCAAAATAGAATTTATTAATTAATACTAAAAATGCTTAGGATAAGTCATCAGAAATAAGAACTAATGTATAGAATTTAACATATGATTTGATTAGCACAACATTTTGATGTCACAACTACACATTCATCTAATTTAGTTATAGAATCAAAGATAATTTGTTTATAAGCTGTTAAATATTGTCTTTGAAATAAGAGAAACTATGCACTTAACTTGATGATATATTGAAAGCATTTAAATTGTAGTGTTTAACCTGAAAGTTCTAGAGCAAGTTACATTTGGAAGGAAATTACAATTTCAAAATAAAATACAACCAAAGAAAAATAGACACACATTCACACATGGAATGTTAGAAGCAATCACAAAAACCACACCCAAGATTAGGCTAGCTATAAATAGGAAGTTATCTTGCAATCTTTCAGTCAAAAAACTAGTGGGTGTCAAAAATTATGTTCATTGTTCAATGAACAAACATTTTTCTTTGCAATAACATTCCATAGCACACATCTGCTATGTAATGTCCACCAGCCATTTAAAATAGTTGTTAATAAGCAATTCTATGGAACTCGAGACATTTTTGCAGCTGTACAGGGGCCATATTTAAATGCCACTCCAATTTATATATTCATATTAAATAATAAATATGTGGACAGGGATTCTATGAATCAAGAGAGCTAATTAATTCTATGATGGCTAACTAAAAGCATACTTCCCCAGACTTATCTTAACACAGGGTGGTAGGCAACAAAGTAATTACCAAGAAACATATACCTACTACAAATTGGGGACACAGCAACCAAAATATATTTGCCCTAATCATATAACAAAAAATATATAAAATTTAATAATGTACTCACAAGGGCATAAAACTCCTGGAGGTTGATATAGCCATCATCATTGTAGTCAACACGAGCCAACAAGTTGTCCACCAAGCCTGCAGAGAGCGGCACTTCACTGATGGGTTTCCTGAGCAGGTATTGACGCAGCTCTGATCTCAGGATCAAACCATCCCCATCAGCATCAATCTGAACAATTTAGGTAATCAGATCATTTGGCATACATATTGAGACATGTTGTTGCCTGCAGACATATCATTATTTTCCACCCAAGCATCTGGGGCCATACTTGCAAAACTCGCTAAGTGAACGTAAGTACCGTACTTACGCTCTATTTTCTTGTCTATGATTGGTGGATTTTGCTTGAAAGGCCGTCACTGATTGGCTGATGAACTTATGATCTCTTAACTTTTTTGAAAGTATGGAACCTGCTGTCTATGTATGTATATCATTTATTAATTATTGTTGTATTTATGTTTTTTTCTGCACTTTTCAACCAGTAAGACTTAGTTAATTATTATGCTAGCAATTGGGGGACCATGCAAGTGCAGTTGCAGATCACTAAGTTGATGACTCATTGCATGAAACTGCCAGACTGTGTGAAATTAGGTTAACAGCTTTTACCCAAGCTTATGTGTTTCTAAGTGTTCCATCATTTTATTTAGGTACTGTTAATTAGATTATGCAGCTTTATTTGAGCTTTTCTTGTCATTCAGTGTTTATTGAAATTCTTAATTCAACTGAAAATTTAATTGCAATTTATTCATGAATGCTCTGCTTTTCATATTTATTTTTAACTTTTACAACTTCTGTACATATATTATGGTATTCAGGTAGTTTATTCTGGTTCTTATTTTAGCTTTTCTTTTCAAAGATTTACAAATTTTATTCAAAATATTATGCTCTTTTCTTGTCTGGTTTCCACATATTTTTTGCAAGCTGCTTGAAAACAGCTTGCTATCAACTAAGAATCTAGTTAAATATTTTATTGCATCACTTTTAATGCCATATTTCCCCCCAAAGAAAGTATAATAATTAATTAGGGGACGGGTTATGGATCCTGTTTTGTTTTACAGTACACTAATGAAGAACTCTAATCCAGTCCATGCTTCCTATCCCTAAACTTAACTCAGATAAACAAATAAGCTTAACCACACAGTGCACAGTTCCACATTATAGTTGTCATTTAACCATTTCATTCTTGTTAAACTCATTGCACTGTATTTTTATTCAATTTATAATATTTGTAATATAAGACACCAGTTTTTCATTCACTTCAACTAGATGATGTTGCCATACCAAACTTAAAGTGGGTAACATAGCTACAGCACCTGCGATGTGAGACATGTACCCAGCAACAATGATCATCCACAAATAGCACCATGATTAATGTTCTATTATTTTGAGAACTGGAAGATTTAAGAAGTGAATAGTATTTCTTATCTTTCATCCATCAAGTTCTTTAAAAATCAATATTCAACTAATTAAAATTGAGATTTAATTGCTAACTTAGGCTAGTGTTTGAATGCTATAAAAAGAAAAAGAGTTTGATTTGAAATATATTCACTGCCAGTATACCACTTTACTCCCATAAAGTAGAGATTTTCTATCAACTAATCTTGTTTTACATTTTAATTTTCAATTCAATTTCCTATCAATCATCAACTTGTGGGAATAAAAATAATTTTGCAATTAATCAAATTTAATTTACTAGTTATTGAAATAAATTTACTTACATTTATAAAGGTAAGTTGGTTTTTGAAATACTGCACCAGAGATTCATTGTTCAGCATCTTTTGGTGCTTAACACACAAATATTATAAACAGGTACCTACAACAATTATGTTAATCAAAATACTGTATAATCAAGTAGTAGGTACAATTTGTAATAGACTTGATATGAAATAAAAACAGACCAGGTTTGTCAAAATAAAAAGAAGAAACATATATAGGATACTCACCCTCAAAAATATATCATAAAACAGACCAGGTTTGTCAAAATAAAAAGAAGGAACATTTATAGGATACTCACCCTCAAAAATATATCATAAAACAGACCAGGTTTGTCAAAATAAAAAGAAGAAACATTTGTAGGATACCCACCCTCAAAAATATATCATAAAACAGAGCATGTTTGTCAAAATAAAAAGAAGAAAGATATATAGGATACTCACCCTCAAAAATATATCATAAAACAGACCAGGTTCGTCAAAATAAAAAGAAGGAACATTTGTAGGATACTCACCCTCAAAAATATATCATGCCAATTGATAGGTTCAGAGTAAGGTGCGTTGGACCGCATGTTGTTCTCAGCCTTGTAACAAGGGGGTAATGGCTGGCTAAAGCAGTGTGTCTAGCTCTTGATGACACACATCCAGTAAAGCAAATTTGATGTTTTACTAATTTATCCAGAGAAATTGAAAATACATCTGTAAAACCACAGACAATATAAGATATTGTTATTCATTTGTAATCAATAATGCTTTTACCTTGTGGCAAGACAAACATTTTTTACTGCAATGAAAGTATGTACTTATATATTGAGATGAACTGTGGTATTTATGTATATATATATATATATATTTAAAATCCAAGGACGACTTTTTGGAAATCATCCGTGCTACTCGCCCTTCTGGTCAGTTCAATATTAAAAATGTCTATCGGTAATTTGATTTTCAATCTTCCAACACCTACGAAGAATTTAGTACGACTTATTGAAAAAACTAACAAGAAGCTAATAAATAAAACTAATTCTCTGGTCTTTAACAAAACTTGCTTAAGAGAAGAAATTCTGCCAGCCTACACTAATATATATATATATATATAATAAATTAAATGGATTATCCATACTTTCATCATGAATTTAGCAAAGGCAATTTCAATAAGTAATTTCATCAATAAAACTTCTGAGAATTAGGAAAATTAAAAAAAATATCAATAGGAAACAGCAACTTGATTTAAAAAATTCCATTCATGTAAAGATGTACCGGTAATTATGTAGTTACTAGAAATCAATTATAAGAAAAGCAGCTACTTATAAGAAATCATTTATGCAAGGTATGATAATTTGAATAATTATAGCTGACTAAATTGTAAAATTTATAAAGAGACTTTGAAAAAACAGTGTCTCCCAAACACTGATGTTGCATGTTTGAATATTTTGTGCAACAGCCATCATGCAAGACTGATTTGCCATAGTTTGCTGCAATCATGCAACAGAATTCAATTAAACTCACAGGCACGATGGATTTAGTAAACTTAAACCTTTATCTAATACATATAAAAAATACCATAAATATATACAGTTATAAGTTATTAAGGGAGTATCTGGTGATAAAATGAAATATTTAGGCTTTTCCTGTTTTTAGTCGCATCTGAAAGCTGACATTCTGACCCATCCAACAGTACCGGTACTAAATTAATCTCTGTATGTTGATTTATGTGTTCATGACAGATTGCAAAAGGATTAGGGGTGGTGGAGTTCTTTCATATTCAAGATGGGCAAAAATTCGCTGCCAAGCATATACGGTCTAAAGATGCTGCTCTTTAGTTACCCAGCTGCTGTTGTGGGGGATGGTACTCATGCAGTCATTTCCACCATCCTTGACTGAATTTAAGCTCCAGTAATGTCTAGTCTTGCATCCTTGCCCCCTTGAAGCCTGAATGCCTATTTCAAGGCGCATGGGACTTTGTCGCGCTCTACTAAACATTCACAATTATTGTCACTGCAAGCCTATCTCCTCCTAGAGTTTACAAGCTACAGCAATGAGAGATATACCATTCAATTTGCCTATAAAAGATCTAGAGAATTATGTTAGCTTCTTCTCAATTTTGTTATAGTTTTGAAAATATTTTGAAAAACGAGAGGGAAAAAGAGAAATCAGAAAATTTTCGAAACTTTTATGAAAAATGCTCCTCCAGGCACAAAAAATTAAATTTTGAAAAAAAGCTACCATAAATCGGCATATATGGTCTTTACGCATTGAATGATATGCGTCTCAATGTTTAGCTTAAAAATCCTAGATTTTTTTCTACAGTAGGTACCCCCATTTTTGCCGTTTTTAAAGAATTTTTGGTTTTCTTTCCTTTTTTTTGAAAAATTGCCATAAATAAAAGCTGTCTATTTATCTGTTTTACACGTGTACCAAATTTCAAAAAGATCCACCAATAGCCGTCATTAGCCAAGATAAAAAAAAACACCAGACGCTCTCCTTAAACTAGTACAAAGTTACACCTCTAATAAGTAGAACTAATAAAGTTCTACCTCTACTATATAGGACTATTCTGTGATATATTCAATCTGGAGATTTTCAAGGTTTGGTAAATTGAAGAAGTAAATTTCAGTTCAAGAATTCATCAAATTAGGTGCACAAAATATAATTAATTTGCTAGTGTGTCACATTGAACATGGACGTAAAATGCAGGGTTGGCAATGATTAAATCAAACTGAATAAATCATTTGATTTTTATAAAAAATCATGATTTTTATTTTTTTATTTTTTATACATTTATATATATTGAGTGGCATTCTTTAATTTATTTTAAAGTATTGTTATTCATGATTTAGTATAAATGTACTATGACAAATTGGAATATAAACCTGTTGCCTTTAGTGTGTATTACATACATTCCAATGAATTGTATGTTTTTGGTACAAAGGCATCAAGGGTTGCAATACATTGTAAATAGCAGCTTAGCTAATTCTTATAAGGCTATAACCCTATAAGTAGTCTTTAACTATTTGTTATATATTAATTACATTATACAATTTACATGTAATAGCTAGCTTATATAAAAAGGGTTGGTTGAGATTGTATTGACCTTTTAGGTGTTTAGAAAGATTTTCCACCCTAGTATGAGTACCTATTCTAACTAAAATGTTTAATTTCAATCATTAAATATGTGAACTTATAACTAGAAACTAAACATTTACAATTATAAACTATATATACAATATGGTAATTAAATGCAGTGAATAGAAATAAAATGTTCAAATTGTATACATGTAGATTTCAAACAGTATTAGCTTTTCTCATAACATAAGTCTTGTTTCCAGTTGTTAGAAGTTTGTTGGGTTGTCATTTATTTTATTTTTAGTAGTACCGTAAAATGGGGTAACTTTGACCACTTTTTTTTCAAAATGATGCCATTTTTTACTAGATAAATTAAACTTGAATTGAAACATGCAAAATACAGGTCTATACCCTAGCTTTACTCACCATAAATTGCTGGCTCCTGCCTCTCATAGTTTTGATGTAATTTCAAAAAAAGTGATGGTCTTTGTTACCCCAGCTCTAGGGGTTTCTTTGACCGGGTGGTAAAATCAATTTTATTTTTTGGTAAAATAACTCCAAATAACTCCAGGTTGTGGTGCATTGTAACTGCCCCCAAATGGGCAAAATGTGACCATCTAATGGCAGCCGTGACGGGGTAACATTGACCGGTTTGGAAATTAAGTTAAAATTACCATATATAAGACTCTGTAGAGTCTGAAACACGGTTTGGAAATTAAGTTAAAATTACCATATATAAGACTCTGTAGAGTCTGAAACATAAAGAAAAAAAACATTAATAGGTGTATCAAACATAAAATATGTTATATAGGTACCTGTGGTAATTTTAACTTAATTTCCAAGCCGGTCAATGTTACCCCGTCACGGCTGCCATTAGGTGGTCAAAGTTACCTCATTGGGGGCAGCGCCCCCCATTTGCAAACTATGACACTTTTCTAAAAATTGTCTTTTGCATATGTAACTAGAAGAGTTCTACTACAATGCATCAAAACCTAGAGTTATTTTACCGAAAAATAAAAAAATTGGAGGGGGTACTCCGAAAGGCTTTAAATAATAGCTCTTTTTCGTGGTCACATTTTTAATTTTTTAACCTATTAGATATGCAAACTTTTTAAATCTTTCTATTGTGTTACGTAGCCTCAGTATTAGGCCTTTGATGGCCATTGACAAAATTTTTCTATGTCAAATCGTTTTTGAGTTTTGGGGGTTTTTGTTAAAAAAACGAAAAGTGGTCAAAGTTACCCCACCGGTCACAGTAACCCCATTTTACGGTATTCGTTTATTGGTCTGAATCGAATGGGAACAGTGCAGTCAGTCACTCAGTCACTACTAGTCAGTCATCAGTGTGTTTAGAGCCAGGGTAGAGTCTGGTAGATTTATAGGACATAAAACTAGTAGATCTATTGATACTTGATAGTGCTGTGCACTGTTCCACACTCAGGATGATGTATGTTTTCGGTGAATTTTCCCGCGCATTTTCACTTTTTTTAAGCTATTGCTGTGCACAGTTGGCGCAATGTAATGAAAATTGATTATCTTCGCGCACGTGTTCGCGCAATCCCGTTCATCTTTATTTTAGAAGAAATTTTCTCCAAAGTCATATGGCAACACTGAACACCGTCTGTTTACATTTCGTATGTATAACAGCCGCAGTTTACGATTACCGTACGTTCCGTATCCGACAAGGCGGACAAAGGAATATAGGGATTTGGTAGGTTTCCATTCTAAAGGCTTTTTAATAAATATGGCAACATTTTGTGACGTTTCATTGTTGCTGACGCGTAGTGAAGTGTTTTGAGAGTCATGTGAAGGCAACAGAACTTACATAACGCATATGGTTTTTTTTATAGTTTTTCATTTCTCGATGCGTCCTTAATGTGTCGGAATATCCCGCGTTTACCCTAGTCAATATACTCGCGAATACTGTCGACTAAAATAGTAGAACTATTTTAGCTTTCTAAAGTACGGCGCATGGGGCATTTTTTACCAACGTAGTACGGCGCACCGCGCAGGTCGTTAAAATGACAAAATAAATTCCCACGCACCTGGCACATCTTCCTGACCATGGTGTGTAGCCAAAGATCTTGCAATATTCATCCACTCTCTGCACAGTGGCAATCAGCTACCTATCCATTATGTGAAGTCCTCTTCAATGTTTAGAAGATCTGCATTCCTGTTGTATATTGAAGCCAGATAAATGGTCAATATTTAACTCATTACCTTGCGGCTTGCACCATACAAACTTTACAAAGCTAATGAATAGACTTATCAGTAATTGTTTACCCAAAAGTCTCAAAGTGGTAAACACCACCAGCAGGCAGCCACCTTGACCATTCTTGAAGCCTGAAGGCAATAACTGCCCTTTTTAGCCATCCATATACTGTTATTGGCTTATTGTTACAATTTGTTAGTAGAAGTAGTAGGTAGTACTAGTATGGTATTGACATCAGTGACATGTTAGTAGGTACTAGCTAGTATTGGTAGCATTGTTAGTAGCCTAGTTAGTATACTAATTGCAATATAAAAAATAACATTTCAGAAATACAAAAAAAAAACTGAAAAATCAAAAAATTATGAAAAAATGAAAAAAAAAATCATTGATTTTAAAATTTTTTCAATTTTGGTTAAAAAAAAATAAA